GAGAGTCAGAGAGAGGGAAAGAGAGTCAGAGAGAGGGAGAGAGAGTCAAAGAGAGTCAGAGAGAGTCAGAGAGAAAGAGAGAGAGAAACAGAAAGAGAGAGAGAGAGAAAGAGAGAGAGAGAGAATATATTTTTTTCTGATGGAAGGAGTTTGATTTAAAATCAATCATTATAATCCTAATCAACTGATAGCAATAGGTGTTACTTATGTTCATGTCCTGACATGTTTTCTAGACATGTAATTAACCATCAGACTATCAGTGATGTCTTCACAAACAAGACAATTTACACAGTCTCATTTACAATCTAAAGAACATTAACAAAGTTCAAGAGTTTTATATGCCTCTTATTTTCTTTAATAATAATAGCAATAATAAGCAAATAAAATGAAGGTAACAAACATTGTATGAACATATTTCAAATATTCTACCTAAATGCATTAGAATATGTAGAAAAGTTGATTTGACTTTTTTTCCCTGGAATATGATATTTTGATCATATAGTAATATCAAAACCTCAATTACAATTACTTGTCATAATAAGCTCTTGTTCATAAATAATGTTTCATACTAATGTGCACTAATAACTTTATAACAGCATCAACATGATTCCAGTCACGATAACATGAGCAGAACAACAACCTGATAGACATACCTGCAATATGGTGACCCAGCGTGGGAGGCCAAAGTATGTGTGTGACCATTTGTGGATCTGTGGAAACACCAAGGCATTTCAATCTATTTACATAGGTCTCTTTCATCCTTCAACATTTCAATCAGCGTGTGAAACTCTAGAGAATAAACACTAATCTGTATCAAGTGAACGGTCCTTACAGGAAAACTATTGCTGTTCTGCTGTGGAGTCCCAAATAGTGTAGTATCCCAAATGATAATTCTTTCAGGACCGAGAAAGCATGGAAAAACTCTATCTTATCACAATAACACAATAATTTTTCTGTGGTCCAAGAAGAGCATGACACAGTTAGATATGAGGTCAAGACAATTACAAACAAAGGGATTCAACATTTTGATGAGATACATGTACTAGGAATAAACTACAGGTGTCTTTGATGTGTCTACACAAAAAAGAAAGAATGAAAAAAAGCCCCTCTGATTAAATTGGATGCTAGCAACTTAAGAGCACCACTGAACAGCTCAGTAACATAGAACAATGATTATAATAACAATAATAGTAATAATAACAACATTAATAATAACAAAGTAGTAGTAACAACAATGATGATGATGATATGATGATAACAACAATAATAATAATAACAATGGTAATGATAATAACAGCAAAAGTAATAAATATGATCAAATAACATCATTACTAACAACAAAGGGATTATGTGTATGCCTGATGCCCCTATCATGGCTGCAGCTATTGTTTCCTTGACAGATTTCTGGAATTATGCCTTTCCTTGCTCAACAGTAATGCAATGTATCCTGCAGTAAAGTCTGCAAGTTTAACTCTCTATTGCTAAAATTGGTGATACCCTGACTATCAAAGAAAAAGAACGGAAAACTCTCAGCAAGATAATGAAAACTAAAGAAACATCTTCCATTAATAAGGAAATATGTCCTCTTATAATTTTTTTTTCATTACCCTATTCCAAGTATGACATGAGACTAACATAATCAAACCTATGGTGACAGGTTTTTCCTGGAACAGACTGACACATATGTCAGTGGGTATGTACAGTCAGCTGCTTCAGTGAAAAAATAGAAGCATGGGAAACCCGTATTCACCCTGCCTTGTGCATGTTTTGGCTACAGCATACAAAATATCTCAGTAAATGAGTCTAAAACAAAGCTTTAACCCCATTTTTAAGAGACTCCAGCTTCTGAACAGCCACACCCACAATAAATAAGCAAAGAATCACCTACATATTGGTATCAATTGATCTCTGGGACAGCACAAAATAAAAGACATTCAAAGACAGGGCCTGTTTCCAGTCATGCAATAAACTAATTATTTTGGAATAAGTCTAAACTACTAAAATGAAACTAGCATCTATTAAATCTGTAGCTAATTAGCTGCCCTACTTTATTCTATAGAACAATTCATAATGCTCAGAAAATGTAAAAATGTATATACAAGAATCATTTTACAGTTTTGATTGAAAAGTATAATTTATACATTATTCATGAATGAAAATAGCATGAAAATGTAATAATTTCATACAAGTACGGCAAATTTTAAAGCATATATATTTAAAATGTTCACTCGATGTCACCACAGATGGCATGTACGTACGGACCATGCCCAATGTAAGTTTAGTATATCGAGTCCTTACACAGAGATGGCTCCACAAGTACTAAGTCACCAATGATCCGATTACGAGTACTACCTAGGTCAGCTATTTACCTTTTCCTTGATTTTCTGGTATCCTATTTTGCTGGTGGTAATGTCAATAACACTATAATAATCATACTGACAATAATAACAATGACAATAACATCAATATTGATAACTTTAGAGAGAGAAAGAGAAAAAAAAAAATGTCAATAACAATATAATAATCATACTGACAATAATAACAATGACAAAAACATCAATATTGATAACTTTAGAGAAAAAGAAAAAGAAAAAAATTCTCCCTGCAAACTCAAGGAAAGGTGAAATCAAGTGAGGTTACAAGATCTGCTAATTGATCCCTTTGTGGCTAAGCAATTGTGGAGCCATCTATGTGCAGAGATACTTCACAAAACAATAATACAGTGAACACTACATTATCCAGGTATCAGTGGGTTAACCACAAATTCAGCATCAGTAGGATGTTCTACGCACAAACAGTGATATAAGGGTCTCCTATTAATACCCTTTCAAAGACAATTATCGTTTAAAGTGTCCACCTGGCAGCACAATGTCCCTTTGCAGCCCATTTTAAAAAATACCAAATAGCTTTGGGTGACTGACCAATCAGAGGCTTAAAATTTTCAATATAAACACATCCACACTGATGGAAAAAAAATGCTTTGTATGAGAGTATTCTACAATCCTGTGGAAGAAAGAAAGAAAGAAAGAAAGAAAAGTTGTGGAAGAACCAAATTATTAACTTGTGACTATATCATAATTCCATTTCATATGAATTTTACGCACGCACGCACGCACGCGCACACACACACACATACACACACACACACACACACACACACACACATACAAACATGCATACCCACACGCACACAATCACACACACACACAATTACACACACACACAGACAAACACACACTCTGCTATCTCTCACCTGATTTGTTAATGACACAAAAATTGCCAAAAGATAGAGGTATGAAAACCAATAGTAGTTGGCCTGAATCTGCTCGTTGGTCTTGGTGCAGAAGTTCCACGTCATGGACATCAGACCTGGGAGAGTGAGCATGAAGTTGTCCCCGTTGGTTTCAATGAAGTCGTGTCGTGTGATTGATGTGGGGTCAATGTGGTGCTCACGGAAGGGACGAATGAAGTTCTGAAAGAGGGACATGATTGTGGCAACAGATTCTTAAAATGGGAAGAACTGACTTACAACAAATAACTTTTGATCATCTCAAATGGTTTTTATAATGGCTGGAGAGAAAATGATGTGAAATATATATATATATATATATATATA